AGGCTCCCTGCTGAGTGGGGAGCCTGGCATGGGGCTCCGCCTGGCATGGGGCTCAATCCTAGGACCCCGGGATCATGGCCTGAGCCGAAGGCAGACGCTTAACCGACTGAGCCACCCAGGCGCCCCAAAACCACTAATGGTTTTGAATAGGGAGGCTTACAATATTTATTTTTTTTGGAGATCACCTCATATTGTAGTTATTCATGTGGTTGTCTTGTCACATCTATCCGGTGAGTTCCACTGGCTTGTCTTACCTCATCCCTGTTCCCTCACTTACTTAGCACTTACGTTCTGACATACTAGAGTTCAGTGAATTGTTGCTGGATTGAATTACCAATTATTGCTTCCCCTGTCCCCACCTACACTATGAGTCAGCACTTGTTCAAGATCACACAGTTCCTTTTAAATGTTCTCATCTTAAATCTAAGTTCTGAAATATTATATTAAATATGCTAGCTGATTTGTCTAGTCTCTACCCCTCAGGACCTAATGCTTAGTAGGTGGGGAGAAAATTTGAGCTAAGTGAATGGTTTGTATGGGAAAAATGTTGCAGGAGGCTGCCTTTTCCCAGAAGTGTGATGTTCTGAGTGACAGGAAAGAAAGACCAACAGAACCCAGTGTGCTGTGAGCCTTCCTCCTCTCAAGGCCTCTCTCCAGGGGTTCTGCCTAGTGCATTATGGAAATGGTATTAACATGTGCAGAATCTTAATTTCTGGTCTCAGGACCCAAATGTATCTATTTACGTGTCTGTGTCACATTGATTTATTCATCCAATGAACATCTAGAGGCCACAATGTGCTGGCTGCTTTATGTCTGGCCCTGAAGATAGGAAAATGAAGAAGGCAGGCTCCCATTCTTAAGGAGCAGAGTCTCTTGTTCTCCCTTTCCTTTTTCATTGAGCACCACCTCCTTTTTAAAAAATGTTGCCCACCAGACCTAGAATAAACGTAACTCTAGGCCAGTGTGTAGAATTGTTGCTGGAGTCCTGTGTGCTAGTCTTTTCCTTTTTGTTTTACTGACACTCACTCACTGTGTGCTCAAGGGCAAGTCAAGTTGCCTCCGTGCCTTGGTTTCCCCTCTTGGATATCCGTGCGGTATCTACTTGCCCTTCCTAAGCCTCCGGGGCTAGGGGAGGGTCGTGCAGGACAATGGATGCTGAGAGTAGTGGGGAGGGTCCCCATTCAATCCTGGGTTGTAACCACAATTTGAAGAGAATCTGGACATAAGTCAGAGAAAATAAACACTGTTGTTCCCCCCCCAGTGGAAATAACTGCTTTTTGGGGAGTAGGTTTAAAATGAAAATATTTAAAAGTAGCTGTGTGATATTGAAGAAGTCATTTCTCTTTCCTGAGTGTCAGTTTACGTTCCTATGAGATAGGGCAATGGGACTGGATTATGTTCCAGAAAACAATTCACTGGGAAGAGATTCTTCTATTCCCATGTCTACAACTAGAGCAGCCAGAATTTTTAAAAAATTTCCCCTCATTTTACATATTTGACCTCAGTGTAAGCTTTTTTCTTTCCTCCCTCCCTCCCTGCTTTCTTCCTTCCTCCCTCTCCCTCCCTTCCTTCCTTCCTCTTCCTTCCTTCCTTCCTTCTTCCCTCCCTCCCTTCCTTCCTTCCCTTTCCCTTCCAAAATCCCAGAGCTAAATTAAAACAGAAAAAAACCAAACAAACCCCTCACTGCTAAATAATCTGGAACATCCTTCTTGCTGTCATGTTCACACACATGTGGACCCATGTGCTATCTACTTAACGCATGTGCATTCCTCTTGCACGTGTTAGGTGTGCATGAGGCCCCTGGGTACAGAATGCTTTTGTAGAGAATCAGCAATGAATCTGTGGCCTGCTTGATTTTTATTTTTAAGTGTGCACTCCGAGATGACCATTTTTAAGGGCAGAATTCCTGAGTCTGCATAGCCTTTGGCAGCTGAAGGCTGAGTAAGAAATTCAACAACGGGTCCAGGGAAAACCTCTTCTTGCAAATGCTGGAATGCTTCAGCTGCACATGGGACCCGACGGTCCTGGGAAGTGGAGGGTTGTGGGAACAGCGCCACCTTGTGGCTCCCGCGGTCACTTTCCCGAACAGAGCCTGGCCGGTCCCAGAGCTAAGTGCTTGGCCCCTATGGGGTGGAACTCCTGGAAATGGGGGTTCTTAATTTATCCGGAACGGGCCCGAGGCTCTGTGAGCCCAGAGCCTGTGTTCGAGCCCAGGTTCCGCCCGGCAGCAGCGCCAGCTGCCTGATTTAGGAGCCCTTCTCTGAAAGCTGCTGCACTGCCCTGGCCAGTGAGGGCTACCACGCAGGGTGTGTGATTGTTGGGAGAAGTGTGCTGGTGGGACAGTGTCCTCTTCTGGAAGAGGAGGACGGAGCCTGAAGGAGAGGGGACAAATTTCACAACTGACACGGCTGAGGCCAAGGTGGGAAGACGGTACACCAGGAATTACACAGAGGGAGGGCAAGAAGAGGCATCCCCTGTCCAGAAACTCAGGACACGTGTGAGGAAGGGAGGACTCTACCCCTCACCTCACCCTCCTGACCCCCCGTCTGGGAGCCCTGATTGAGCCCTCCTGCTCTTTGCCTCCCTCACTGCCCTCCCATCCCTGGCCCGGGGTTGCTGGGAAGACCAAAGGAAAGGTAAGGGACTTGGCCCAGTGCCTGGCACATGGAGAGTCCTCAGAGGTTCCCACGTCTGTCCTCACCCTCTTCCATTCAGCGGACCCGACATGGGGTGAGGACAACGAGCTGCTCAGCCAGGGTTGGAACTCACCGCCGGGTGCCGCGCTGACCCGCACAGATGTAACACCAACCGCAGATGCAAACCCCTTATTTGATCTAACCTTTTCTAGGGGTCCCATGGAAAGAAGTCAAAAGAAACAGGTGAAATTACTTTTCATAATATATCTTATTTCACCCAATATATCAATATCTTGTCATTTCAACATGCAATGAAAAAAAATCAGTAAGATAGTCTATGTTCTTTTCCCCCCTTATCCTGAGTCTTTGAGATTCGGTGTGTATTTCACACTTGCAGCTCGCGTCCCTCCCCAGGCCCTGCTCCTGAGGAGATCTGGAGCTACTTCTCTGTCGCTGAGTCACCAATGTTCCCTGTGCCTCGGGGCAGATCACTCCCTCACGTGGGTCTTGTTGTCCTGCTCCATGAGATATGGGGCTGGGTGGCTGACCTCTGCTGTTTCTTCCTGGAGGGAACTTTTACGATCATAAAATGGGGCCTAACCAGTTAGTGCCCTGCCCTG